TATAATAAACATTAAATAATGATATTATTTCCATCACAATTATATAAGAAAAGAAACCGATAACATTTTTGATTTTGAGAAAAAGAAAAATCCTAAGCACAATTTTTAACCAAACCATCCATGATAATTTGTTATCATGGTCCTRAGTCTATGATTGAAAAGGGAATTTATGAAATAATCATAAATATGTATGTAAACAGTAGGCAAGTGAACGTCTGAATGAACTATATTTTGTATGTGACTAATTTTGCATTAATGAAATTGTACATTTATTAAATATTATTATGTTTAATTTGGCGCACAATCATGTTATGGTTTTATCAAATAAAAATTGACCTGCTAGTAGCCGTGTTACTAGTTTACTGTGTAATATTGTACATGCCATAATATTATGGCATGAAATCCACAGTTGGTATGAGGAAATGTTATTTGTAGTAATAAATTTTTAGTTACTTATTATATCTATGTGGTTTTGATCTAATTTCATTCCTATCAATCGATTGTTTTTCTAATTTTCTTCTAGTGTTCTTATGCAATCGTTTCATTTCTAACATATAGTCTGGTACTGGACATCCTGAATCCCTCATTACTGTAGCAATACTGAAGCAAAAACAAATAATTTATAAAGTAAATTAATTCTTTTACATAAATATAAACAAATTTACCTTCTTAACATTGGTTTGTCATCGTTTGTAAAAAATGTAACAGCCTTACCAGAACGTCCTGCTCGTCCTGTCCTACCAATTCTATGAATATATGAGATGGCTGAAGATGGAAAGTCATAATTTATTACTAAATTTACACCTTTGAAATCAATACCTCGGCCCATAAGTTCTGTACAAATTAAAACCCATATTTTTCCTTCACGAAAGGCCTTTACAGTATTGTCTCTCTGAAAACAAGTATTTCATATTCAAAACATATATATATATATATATATTGTTCATTATTATAACTCACTTGTTGTTGAGTTCTATCAGCATGTATAACATCTACATTAATTCCATCATAAATTAGTTCACTAAATAGCTCTTTTGCACGCTCTTTAGATTGTAAAAAAATCAATACTGGAGGTGATAGACCCTAAAACGTAATTTAAAAATGTATAAAGTATAAAGAACATTAATATGTGTATTATGATTTATAAGTCATGGCATTTACTTTTTTCACTAAATCTCTCATTGCAATTAATTTTCCTTCTTCGTTTCCAACAAACACCAGATCCTGTTCAACTGTAGTGGTTGTAGTGTTCCTATGCAATAACAATAAACATTAAATATTAATAACAATAAATGCATATTCTATATGGATGAAAAAAAACTATTGTGATAAARGAAATTTAAATTTACATAATAGTAAAGACTTTGAATTATTAAGAAGGCACAACACTCTTATTTGTTCTCAGTCTTACAAAATAAATGCTTAACATAGTATATTTAGGCTCAACAGTTCACGTTTTACCATGTTAAAATTAAAGTGAATAGACCTATTATGAAACTTGATGGTAAGAACATTATTTGTGTTTTGTTAGAAGTATTTTTACGATAATTCAGTTTTTAAGTGAGTCATGAGCATTTTTATTTTACAATTTATTATACGCACATAACTCACTTAAAAACTGAATTATTGTAAAAGTACTTACAACAAAACACAGATAATGTTCTTACCAAAAAGTTTCATAATAGGTCTATTTACTCTAATTTTAAAGTTGATGGGGTAAAATGTAAACTTCTGAATGTTAATTTGTTATGTTACGCGTTTGTAAGACTGAGACAACAAATACAGGTATTGCGCCATATTGCCCATATTAATGATTATTGATTAATATATAGTGGAACCTTGATCTTACTTAACCCATGTAAGTCAATTTTTTTTCGCCCTCAACCGATTCGAGTTATCAAGGTTTCAATGTATTTTAATTTAAAACAATAATAAAAAATGATAACATTTCAAATTAATAATTACATAAAATTCTGATTATCTCTAAKTATAATAATTATCATAGAGAAATTATTGTTTTTGAATTTAGTTTATTATTTTCTTGAGTAAAATGGTAGTCTTTGGATATTTTAATTGATATTAGGACATTATAATGATGACATTTCCAAAATATTTTAGAACCAACAGTTAGTCGCCTTATTTTTTATTAGTGAAATGGGAAAATGGAGAAACACCAAACAATAAATTATTGATACATTGAAAGCTATGAATGCACATGAGATATGTATATTGTATAAGCTATAATTCGTAT